GGGGGAATAGAAGTATATTGTTACAAGATTCCTACATTATCCATGAAGAGATATTGTATTTTAAGGTACAGAGTGATACGTTAAAAATGCATACTGTAATTCCTACAGCACAGCTAACAAGCCAATAGGGAAGATGAAATTAAATAATCAAATTAATAAAATCAACAGGTAGGAAATAAGAGAAATGGGAACCCAGAGAAAACAAATAGCAAAATGGTAGATTTAAACACAGCCACATTTATAATTCCATTAAATGTAAGTGAGCTAAATTCTCATTGAACTGCAGAAATTGTCAGACTGTTTTGAAAAAAGTTTCAACCATACTTTGTCTAAAGAAAACACTTAAAATATAAAGAGACAGGTTAAAAAAAAATGGAAACGATGTACATACAATCACTAATTATGAGAAAATGTAAGGAGCAGTATTGATTTCAAAGAAGACTTGAGGACAAGGACTATTACCAGAGACAAAATAGACACCACAGTCTTAAGTGTGTAGACACCCAATTACAGAGCAATTACATTAACCAAAGACTGACCAAACCTAAATGAGAAATAGACAAATTCACAAGACAAATCTACAGTTACAGTTAGCAATTAACACTCCTCCCTCTGTTTCGTAGAATAAGCAGACAGAAAATCAGTAGAGATAAAAGACTTGAATGATACTATCAATTAACTTGACATACTGGCAATTATAGAATACCAGCAGGATACACATTCTTTTTTAGTGTATGTGGGACATTCACCAAAGATAGACCATATGCTGGACTACAGATCAAATCTTCAAGACAGGTAATATCCTTTTTTTTTTTTTTTACGATTTTATTTATTGATTTGACAGAGACAGAGAGAGTACAAGCAGAAGGAGAGGGAGAAGCAGGCTCCCCACTGAGCAGGGAACCTAATGCAGGGCTTGATCCCCGGACCCTAGGATCATGACCTGAGCTGAAGGCAGACACTTAACCAACTGAGCCACCCATGTGCCCCAACACAGGTCATATTCTGAACCAAAAAGAAATCTCAACAAACTTAAAATTATTGAATCATACAGAGTATATCTCTGACCATAAGAGAAACCAGAAATTGGCAAGAGAGAAAGAAAAGAAAGAAAAGAAATGAAAAGGAAAGAAAAGAAAAAGTGATAGACATAGATATTTGGAAAGAAAGTAGGTAACACACCTCCAAATAACCTATGGTTCAAAGAAAAAATCACATGGAAAATTAGAAAATATTTTAAATGAATGAAAATGAAAATAAAATGTATCAAAATGTGTGAGACAGCTAAAAACATGCTCAGAGAGAAACGTGTAGCTTTAAGTGTTTTTATTTAAAAAGAAAGGTCTAAAATCAAAGATCTAAGCTTCTATTTTAAGACAAGCAAACTAAACATATAAATAGAAGAAATAGAGATAAGAGCAAAAGTTAATAAAATATAAATCATACAAACATTAGAGAAAATTAATAGGAGTATATTCTGGCTCTTTAAAAGAGCCAGTCTTCCAGTTAGACTGATGAGACAAAAGACTTAAGTTACCAATGTCTTACATGAAAGGAGAGATATTACTACCCATTATAAAGATATTAAAAGAATAATAAAATAACATTACAAATTATTATAATAAGTATGACAATTTAGATGTGATAGAAAAGTTCTTTGAATGATACAAATTACCAAAAGTGAAACAAACAAAAAATCCTGAGCCATACAATAGAAATTGATAAATTGGATTTCATCAAAATTAGTAACTTTAACTTTTCAAAGGACACTGTTAAGAAAAGGAACAAGCAAGTAATAGACTAGAAGAAAATATTCTCAATACTTAGATCTAAAAAAAAAAAGACTTGTATCCAGAATATATAATTTCTTACAATTCTATAATAAAAGACAACTCGATTTTAAAAATGAGCAAAAGATTTAAATAGACATTTCAAGATATATGAATGGCCAATAAGTACAGGAAAAGATGTCATTAGTCATCAGGAAATGCAAATGAAAACTCAAGTTAGATATTACACGCCCACTACAAGGTTAAAATCAAAGACTGGTAATACCAGCTGTTGAGTCGGGAACAATTGACATTACTATAATTGCTGGAGGGAGTATAAATTGACACAAGTTTGAGAAACAGTCTAGCAGTTTCTTATAAAGTTATACATACCACACATTTCCAGTCCTAGGTGTTTAAAGGGAAATGGAAATATGTGCCCACACAAAGACTTGTACACAGATGTTCATGGCAGTTTTATTCATAATAGCCAAAACCTAGAAACAGTGGGATTTCTGTCAACAGAAGAAATAAGCTGGTAGAGCCATGCAATGCAAACCAGAGTGAAAAAAAAAAGAACAAATTATTGATACATACAACAGAATTAATTTCAAAGACGTTGAACAAAAGAAGTCAGACACAAATTAATATATACATTATGATTCCATTTATATGAAAACCTAGGGAATGCAAACTAATCTGTAATGACATACATTGGAGCTCAGTGATTGTGTAGGTTCTAAAGTGAGTGTGTAGGCAGCCAACAAACACAAGGGAATCTTTTGGGGTGATGGAAGTGTTCCATATCTTGATTGTGTTTGTAGCAGTGTATACGTTTGTCAAAATTAATTGAGCTGTACAAGACAGATTTATTTTATTATTTGTAATTACATGCTTAAAACATCTAATTTTCTAAGTTAAAACTTTTTAAAAGTTTGTGTAATAGGTAGAAAACAAGTGTATTTGTTCTGTAGGCACATTTCAGCTAATGCCTAATGACCAACTAAATTCATTAGTTCGGTTAGCATATCAGATTTTGGGGGTGGTGTGCTAAAAGAAGTTTTAGGATATACCTGCTTTATTTCTATAATATCTAAACCTAAAACAAACCATTTGATGAAATTAGAACTCCCTATTGAGGAAAGGTCCCTATTGAGTTGAGGAGAGAAATATCCTTATATAGTCTGCCATCTTGCTTTTGACTCATATTTTATGCCAATTGATGGGCATTAAGTAAGTGATATATAAAGAATATGATTATGTTGTGCTGCTATCTTGCTTACAGCTTTTAGCTCCAGTTGCTCCTAAAAAATTAGAAAAAATAATTCATGCATTCATTATAATTTAAAAAACCATCACATAGAATTAGCTAAGAGAAATACATGTTATTCATGTATTCAACTATATGCTTATAATCTAGACTTTGCCATCTTGTCAACAAGTAGAAATGCCTGTTTATGATCCAAACTAATGTTTTGTTTCATTTTTATGGCAGTATGGAGATAAAACCACAATATGGAAATGAAACAAAATAAATAATTACTCTCCTCCAAGTAATTATGTGGTTTAGGTAAAATAACTGGCATTGATTATGTGCCCTCTGATTAAATCAAGTTAACTTAATCTGTACTAACTAAACTACTTCCTGAAAAAATGATAGATACTTTGGAGATATAACAGCATGCATAAATCTTTCCAACACTACAATTAGGAAGAGTAAAATACATTTTTCACGTGAATTTCCTTGAATCACAAGAATCGGTTTCAGGCAAGTATTGCTAACTCTCTTCTTAATCAACTTTTCATTTACTCAGATTAGGCTCAAGTCTTTTTTCTGTGGAAGATCCAACCAAAACAGCTTATCTATCTTACTGAGAATTATTGTCTTTCACACATCCCAATTCAGGCTCACTACAGATCTCCCCAACTCTCATCCCCTTAAATAGATAAAAACAAGGGACCACTCCTTTCTCTGTGACATTCTCTTACTTGGGATATATATGGTAAACAAGGACCATACTAACCAAGAGACAAAGATAAGATGGAAAAGAAAGCAAATGACCAGGAAGATAAGTTGTTTTAAAATGCTTAACCTGAATCTGGCCAAAATCTACTTCAAAAATGATTAAGTGGTTTATAGAAGTAACAGTTTGTAAAGTGTGTGTGCTGGGGGGGGGGGGGCTGGATTTGTTGGTTGAATTCAGTTGAATCAAATACTTTAAGCTGTTCATTTTTTACCACCTGCTGGCTAGATAGAGCAGTTCCAGTGTCTTAAACATTCGCTACCTTCTCTCTACAGTTTGGACACATGCCCAAAGATCAAAATACAGACCATTTATCATGATTTGACTTTCTGTACAGAATATAGCACTTTTTTAGAATTACAAACTGAATACAAATATAAAAGGAAAGAGAAGATACTCAAAAAACTTATGTTAAGTCATAAAGATTAGGCCAGAAACCACTTAAAAGGGTACGCAACCTAAGTACTGAAATGTATAGCAAGGATTGTTATAGCAGTTTCTTTCTTCTCACAGATGAAAGAAAAATGTGTATCCTGTTTTTTTTCTACAAAAATAAAATTCTATCCTCATATTCTAAGCCAGGGGTATCTATTTTTCATCTAGAAATACTGTAGAAATACTGTAAAAATGAATTCTAATAGATTAAAAAATTGTATACAAATAAATACTCTAAGGAAATTATGAGTTCCTTAGAACAATCTATCATTCTTTAGCAAAACCAAAGTATTCAAAATAATCTTAAGATTTATAATAGATTTTTAATATTAATAGGTTAGGTTTGAGGCTGAGAGGCAGAGATGTCACAATTTAAAAATTTAAAAATTAACCTTTTAACTCCAGTTCCAGAAAACATATCTTTGGTAACCCTATGACATACATCCTTATTATATTACAAAGAAAATGTTTATTCTAGAGGCATTTTTATCTCTAATCAATACTCCAGATCATAGGCTGATAGTGTAAACAATCTGAGTTTATATTTTAATTTAGAATCCATGGTGAATTAGGAGATTATCCTCTCCAGATTTGTCATCAAAATTATAAAATTTACAGCAATATTGGCTTATTTTTTTTCCCTATGGGCCAGTGGTAAATCCTTACAACTGGATTGAGATAATAAAAACATCTACATACTTGAGATTCTCACAAGATGTAATAAAGCCAAAGTGCAGTCTTCCCCCATAACTTTGTTTTTTATCCAATCCAGCACTAATGTATGCAAGCATTTTTGGGAATGTATCTGCAATTATCCAAAGACTATACTCGGGAACTGCCAGGTACCACATGCAGATGCTTCGAGTAAAAGAGTTCATCCGCTTTCACCAAATTCCCAACCCTCTGAGGCAACGGCTTGAAGAATATTTCCAGCACGCGTGGACATACACCAATGGCATTGACATGAACATGGTATGTATTCCTTTTTCCAAAATGGAAGTACCTCAGGCATTATAGCTACAGTCCAATGGGAAAACCAGTCTCACCAGCTTTGAACCCCTTGCTTTTGTTTTCCTCTCGGATGTTTATTTTCTCCCCTGGAGATAGTCTCTCATTCTCAATTCATGGCATTGCATGGTGCTATATCTAGTTATATTGTGTGGCAAAGGCATTATAACATGATGCAAACTGATATAACTGTGTGTAGTAAATTCCCACTTCCAGTTAGAGAGAATATTGCTAACATAGGATTTGGGCTTTCACCACATGTCCTAGCTGCCAGCACCCCAAAAAATAGTTGGACCCATGTGCATTAAGATTTGACAAGTAAACAGTAACAACCACTATGATATCCCCAAACAGAAATCCAAAGTTAACATTCCTTAAAAAAAAAAAAAAATAGAAAAACAGGACACTGAGGATTTGTAGGAGAGGTTAGGGAGCTTAAGCATGCTGTAAACATTTTATCATAGGAAGTTTCATGTTTCTGTTAAGGACAAATTTTTCTATATTTACAACAATTAACTATGTGCCCTTTTACTGTACCTGGTTTAATGCATCTTTCCTTTCAAAGGGGAAATATGGAATTCTTCATAACTTTTAAGCAAATTCAACATCAACAGTCACTTTTCATAATTCTTCCCACCTCTATCAATTCTTTAAAAATCAACCTAACTAATAACATGACCATGGTCTAAAGAGCACTTTTTATTATTAGGTGAATTGCACACATTCTTTTGACCTGTTTGGCTATAGAGACTGATTCCTAAAGATAAATTATGTGACACATCCAAATTCTGTGGCATATCACAGACCTATTAAGAAAGATTAAAAATATGATGCTCTCCCATCTATCAACTCCACCGGGCAAAGACCCTGTTTCTAAGCATTCTTCAGAAAATAAAACTACTCACATTTAATGATATGAACAGCATAATACAATTTTTGCATAAGTGAGCCAATCCAATTTAGATTGACATTTTTATATTTGACCAGTAATATTTTAATAAAAAAGCAAAGGTTCAAAATTAGAAGTCAAAGGACAGAAGGCATTGCAAATATTGCCCAATTTGAAAGCCATATAAGGATAAGTTTATCAAAGCTGTGTGTAATTTATTGGACTGAGAAGTAAGGACATGCCATTATAAAAATTTTAATTTGAAAAGCACATTTCATATAAAAGCATAACTGAATTCCATGTGTTATTTCTAATTATCCCAAAGTTATTGTGTGAAAATTCATTTGATAAATTGCTATCACTAAGATAACACTTTAATCTCGTAAGAAAGCACCTACAAATGGATCATTTTATGTATTTCCATCTGTATTATTGTTGAACAAAGATATCAGCATTCAGAAACTATTAGGGATTCTCTAATGCTGGGTTGGCTGAAGCAGTGTCAAGAATTTTTAATCAAAATACGTGTCACTCAATTTTGTTGTTCCATACTGCCAGATTATTTCAATAACAGTAATTAACAATTATTTATTGTACATCCCCTCTCCATATAACTAGTTTTGTGACCATTTTTGTGATAAAGTCTATTTTTTGACAACTATTTACCTTTCATTGTTTGACTCTATTACCTATGATATGGTTTATATACCACTTGCCTATTTACAATGTACTTATGAAAGATTTATCTCTTTCCTGTCTGCTTCACACCTTAATACATGGAATCACAACACCCACCGGTAAGAACAGGAGGTATTTATATCCAATTTAATTCTCGTGTAAATTGTGGAGAACACCCTTGTTATCTGTCAGGTTTAGAGCTTGTTAAGTGATTTCCAATGTTAGTTCTGATCTTTATTGCATGATGTAGCAGAGGAAATACAAAGCAAGGAACTGGGGAAGATAAACTGGAAGAGGCCAAGTACAGAATAGAAATCCTTAACTTTAACAACAACTTGACCTCTAGTAATATTTATATACAGTCTCCCCCTCCCAACAAAAAGGCACTTATCTGCTCCTTCCTCCAATCTGGTCAAGGTTATGGGTATACGGTTTGCATTAGATAATTGTCATAAAGAAAATGTCATTCTCTTTCATCATCCTCTATTTTCATGATGTAGGTGCTTTTCTTTCCTCCCATCTGCATGCCTGTATTACATGATCCTGGAGTGTGTGAGCTCTAAACCATGTGCCACTGAGTCTTGCATGTGGTTTTGAGAGCTTGACTTTGCACGAACTTCTTGTTTGTACACAGTGTCTACATTTCTCATCTTGTGACTACAAAGTGAGTAAAAAATCAAAGTCCAAGATAACTGAAAACTCAGCAAATGGAAGATGCTTGTTTATTAAGCACAACGTATGTAACAAAATTAGAGAAAAGCAACTGTACTCTTAGACTATTGAGAGATTTAAAAAAAAGAAGAAATCAAAGTGGATTTTTTTACCTCCAAAACCACATTGTTATAATCCCTGTGTCTTATTAATTTATTGTTAACTAAATAATAATTTAGTAATAATTTAAAGTGATTTAAATTTATGTATTGTGATACATAAAAGTACATCAAACTGTTGTATTTTACATCAGCATTTCATATTATTTTGTTTAAGTATAACCTTAAATATAATTTCTCATGAAACATTTCAGGTCATTTTTTTGCTGTTCAACCATATCAAAATTAGGTACAAGTTTTCCAATCACACTGTATTAATTGACTCAAAATTATTTTTCATAACCCCAAACACTTGATTCCTTGATAGATTTCAAAACATAGAAA